TATAAAATCTAAAAATAACAGAACATGTGAAAATAATCTAATAGATCTCATGCATTTCTAGTCACAGGGAGGTATTTCTCTCATTCTTCCCTGTCTCTCTGTACTCATTTGCTGGATTTTACTACATTTTTCCCTTGTAAAAGCTCAAGAACTATTTTCTGGGTTTCACTGGAGAGAGAACACTGCCTTGAACAGAAATTAAATGCTTTAACATCAGAGAAAACTAGCCAAGTGTAGTGGCACATAGTCCTAGCTATTTGGGAGGCTAAGGCAGGTTTGCTTGAGCCCAGGAGTTTGAAGTTGTGGTGAGCTGTGATTGTGCCATTGACCTCCAGTCTGGGCAACAGAGAGTGACCTTGTCTCTGCAAAAGAATAAAAACCAGAGAAAGCAAAAATAAGTAAACAGAGTGTAGGACAGACATGGATCTGTAGCCTGTGTGGGAGTATCGAGAGCAAAGACATCGGGGCGAGGCATAACGAAACACTTGAACACCTTTGGTTAGGAGCTAAATGTCGACTGAGCCTTTATTTTCTGAACTTAGATAGCAGAGATGTTTGTCAGGACTTCAGACAACTAAGTTGATTAGAAGTAGTTTTATAAATTCTTTTTAAAACATGGGCAACATTTGTTTCATGAAAGCTTCCGGATACCCAGCAGTGCATCCTGCTGGGATGGGCTCTTTCCTCTCCTCCTCAGCTATACCTTCTCCCTTCAGCTTTAAAAGTCTAATTCAAAAGTCATCTCTTCCCTGTGTGTCTCTCTGCCCGCTACCTGGGCAAAGTTGGTGGTTCCCTATTCTATTCCAAGGGTCTGACCACCAGGGCCTAGCTACCTGACTATTGCTCAGGAATCCCTTTCCCCATTACAAGGCGCAGCGTGGGATCCAGCCCAGGGCTCCGCCCCAAGTAGTTACTCTGTCAATGCAATTTTGTTAAACTAGAACTTGTGTTTTGCTTTGCACTCTGTTCTTCGCTGGTTGTCGTGTGTTTACGTATACAATACACAAATAACACCATCAAAGCTACGAATGGGTATCATCTCTACACCGTAACGCACTATTGTTAAACTGCTCATTTGCCTCTTTGTGAGAGCGGCTTGCTGGGCGTAAGCTTCTGATTACAAATTGAAGTGATTGGCTACAGCTGAAGGGAAAACTGACAAGTAATCCCTAGGATTATCTTTGTGTAATATGTCCCCGTAAAGGAAGAATGCTGCGTTCCAAAAAGAGAATCCTTTGCCCAGTTTGCTGTGGGCTTTGCATATTCACATTTAGCAAAAGCCTAATTCTTTACTATATTAGAAAAAAATACCTTTTTTCTTTTCTGACTGTGAAGCTAATGGTTAATGTAGATCATCCCTGTCCAGAAGATGTTTAATGTGAACCACAAATGTTAGAAACATATATAATTTAAAAATTTTAGCAGCCACATTTTAAAAAACCTAAAAAGCAACAAATGAAATGACAGTTAATAATGTATGTAACCCCATATATTCAAGTATTGTCCTTTCAACATACACTCAATATAAAATGTATTACATTCATTTTTGTACTGAGTCTTTGATGTCCTCACGGCACATCTCAGTTTGAACTTAAGTGAGTACTCACAGTCACTGGACAGTGCATTTCCACTTAGCTAATATTTATTGAATGTTTTTTATGTGCTTTGCCCACGTTCTTTCAATTAATCTTCACAACAGCTCTTCAGTTGGGACTACCCATTTTAGAGATGAGCAGACTGGGACTTAAGGACCTTCAGTTATTTGCCTGAGGACGGCTTTGGGACATGGTGGCATGCAGCCTGAGCTGTAGGGCTCTGACTTCAAAATAACGCACTGAATTAAAACGAGAGCCAGGAGAAGACAGATTATGAGACTTAGAGGATGTTGGAGATCAGACACAAGGGCAGAGGCTAATAAGCCTGAGGTCCTAAGGCGATTGGAAATGTGTTTGAAGGAAGGAAGCATTTGAAGCGGAAAGCGGGGGCAGGGCATGGGATTGGTGTGTCCATTCAGACCCTGCCACCCACATCCCCTGAGTTCACTGATTCCCGGCCAGCATGTTTGTTTGGCAGTCATTCAGTTACCACATGCTTAGAACAGAGGGACTTCTCTTCCTTCCACTTTAAACTTCCAACTGCTACACGGGTAAAAGTACACGCTCTGGTGACTGGTGTGAATTAAGGCTAGAGTCGCTGAACAATCCTGATGCTATGGCTTTGTTAGAAAGGTCTGTAAAGTATTATCCTGGTGTCCTGGATTATACAAATGTGCACAAATGGCAGTTTCCCCTTTTCCTTCACACAATGTTAAAAATGAATAAAATCTGTTTCCCATTGCACTTCCCTGGTGCGTGGGGACTCACTGAACTCATTTTAAGTTTCCACTTCGTTATAAAAATGTTTTGTTTTTACTGAAACATGGTTTTGATCAAGAACATAATTCCACCATTGCGTGTGTGTTTCTGAAACAGATACACGTATGTGCAGCAAGTGCACGAGGAGGGCTTGGGTCTCAGCGACGGATCCCAGGAACCGGAGGTTGCTGAATTCTAACTTTAGCTTTACTGAGAACTTGTTGATGACCTGAAGGGAAGGAGCCATCTTCTGCCCTGACGAATCAGTCTCTGGTTTTCTTACTCTCTTTCATCTCTGCCTTTGAAGAATTGGAAATACAGTTGAACAAATTCCATCATTTTTGTTGATGAAAAAATTTAACTTCTATTATTTGTGAATGTTGGAATGTTCTGAACTTTAGACAAGTCTATGACAAAACTATATAAAAATTTAACTTTTATATTTGTAAACATTGGAATGTTGTGAACTTCAGACAAGTCTATGACAGCATTATTTGTTTTGAACAGTTGATGTGTGGCTTATTTTCCAGATTTATTATCTGAACACTGAGATCTGTGGGGTCCTGTTTACCCAGCTCTTATCACACGCTCTGCAATTTGGGGAACAGATAGGAGACCCAGTCTCTGGAACACTGTTGATACCTGAACTAATAACAATAAGAATGTATATTTGGGAAGCAGTTACTTCCTTCTAGCAGGTTCTCCCTTTATGAACATCTTTGCACATATCTTACTGAGTTCTGACGACAGGAGGTCGATACTATCTCATTTTGTGAAGGGGAACATTGACTCGCCCAATGTTATGAAGTTAGTAAATGGATGAGCCAGAACCTGACTCAAGACAAATGGATTCCAAGCCCTGCATATGTAACCAGGAGACTAGACATGCCTCAATGCCCTGTTTACTTTACCAAATTCATAAAAATAGGTCTTGGTAGTCTCCATAACCTCCAGCTCTCATTCCATTAAGTTTGCCACTGTGTTACAATTTCCCATGTCTACGATGCTTGAGCAAAGGAAAGAGCAAGTTAGTGTGAAATAGATGATCTTTGCTTTAATCTTTGTCTTCTAAAACTATTCCTGTTTACTCTTTTTTTCTTTTCCTCTTCCAGGAACCCTCAAAAGCAAGAGATTGCATATTTTTGTTTTGTTTTGCTTTTTTTTTAAACTGAGGTGAAATCCATATAAGATAGAATTATTTTTAGGTAAACAATACAGTGGCGATTACTGTCTTCACAATGTTATGCCATCACCAAGTCTATCTAGGTCCAAATTTCTTCTGCCATTCCAAAGTAAAATCCTGTAACCACTGAGGCGTTTGTCTTCATTAGCCCCAGCTTCTGGCCCCTGGCAAACACCAATCTGTGTCTGTCGGTACAGATTTAACTATTGTGGGTATTTCACATAAATGGAATCGAAGAGAAGGTGACCTTTGCTGTCCGCCTCCCCTTCAAGTTCATCACACTGTCACGCGGACAGTACTTCATTCCTGTCTGGAGAGCAGCGGTTCTCAGCCTTCCTGATGCCACAATGTATTTTCATTGTTACAATGAGGTTGTGACCCGCAGGTTGAGAACCACTGCTGTAGAGGAAGAATGTCCATTGTATGGATATACCACAATCTGTTTATGTATTCATTAATCCGTGGTCATTTCAGCTGTTTCTACCTATCGGCTATTACGAATACTGCTGCTGTAAATATGAACTTTTTTGAGTCTTTAGGGTCAATACCTTGGAGTGGAGTTCCTGGGTCATAGGGCAATTCTACCCTTAACTTTGTGAGGAATTGGCATGCTGTTTTCCACAGAAGCTGAATCATTTCACCTTCTCAACAGCGACGGGAAAGAGTACTCCAATGTCTCTGCTCAGGAGCTTTCTGGTTCTGTCGCTGATGTTGTGGTTGCCGTCCCAGTCTGTGTCAAGTAGCTCCTCATGGTGGTTTTGATTTGTCTTCTCTTTAACGGTTAATGAAGTTGAGCTTCTTTCCATGCGTTTGTCAGCCACTTGTATCTTCTTTGGACAAATATCTCTTCAAGTCCTTTGCCCATTTTTAATTGGCTTATTGGTCCACTTATTGTCGAGTTGTAATCTTTATTTATGTATTCTGGTCATGTTTGTTGAAGGACAATTTTTTTTTTAAGAAGATCAAATTTCACGAAAGGATCGTGTTGTTTTCTTGACAAAAGTCATTCTACATTTCTGTTCTGATGGAAACTATCACATCTAAGATGACAAAGCCAATGATACATCACTCGGAGAAGTCTTAATAAGTGCATTTACTTATAGAAAGAGTGCAGTGAAGAGGTTGGGTCCGCTAAGGATAGGATGAGAGAAGATGTGGTATTGACTAGAGAAAGGCTTTGATGTCATTGTATTTGCACTTTTGGTGTTTGCTTGAATTCCTCTTCCTTTAAAATTTAAATGGGTCTCACTTGACATACCCACAGAGATTATTTCAAAATGGAATGATAATATTTTTTAAACAAAACAAAATTATGGACTTATAAACGTAGGGGTGGAAATTGTCCTCGTCTTTGCATTATAAAACATTTTAAACATAAGTACCTGTGAAAGTTTTAATTTTGATGCATAGTAAAGTAAATGTCTTCTTTGTTCCTGTTTACTTTGTTTCCTTTTTCTTCCTAGGCACCCTGGAAAGTAGGGGACTGCATATGTTTAATCTGACTTCTCTGACTAAGTCTGAGAGCATTTTGTCAGCCACACTGTATTTCTATATTGGAGAGCTAGTAAACACCAGCCTGAGTTGTCCACGGTCTCAAGGATGCTCACATCGTGCTCAGAGGAAACACCATCAGATAGATCTCTCTGCATGGACCCTCAGATCCTCCAGAAACCAAAGTCAACTCCTAGGTCATCTGTCAGTTGACACGGCCAAACCTCATGGAGATATCACCTCCTGGCTTTCTAAAGACATCACTCAACTCTTAAGGAAGGCCAAGGAAAATGAGGAGTTCCTCATAGGATTTAACATTACTTCCAAAGGACACCAACTGCCAGAGAGGATGTTACCTTTTCCGGAGCCTTACATCTTGGTGTACGCCAACGATGCTGCCATTTCTGAGCCAGAAAGTGTGGTCTCAAGCTTACAGGGACACCAGAATTTGCTTCCTGGAGCTGTGCCCAAACTGGATAGCCACATCAGAGCCGCCCTTTCTATTGAACGGAGGAAGAAGCGCTCTACTGGAGTCCTGCTGCCTCTGCAGAACAACGAGCTTCCAGGGGCTGAATATCAGTATGAGAAGGATGGGGTCTGGGAGGAGAGAAAGCCTTACAAGGCCCTGCAGACTCAGCCCCCTGAGAAGAGTAAAAACAAAAAGAAACAGAGAAAGGGGTCTCACCAGAAGACCCAGACACTCCAGTTTGATGAACAGACTCTGAAGAAGGCGAGGAGAAAGCAGTGGATTGAACCTCGCAATTGTGCCAGGAGGTACCTTAAAGTCGACTTTGCAGATATTGGCTGGAGCGAATGGATTATCTCGCCGAAGTCCTTTGACGCCTATTACTGCTCTGGAGCGTGCCAGTTCCCCATGCCAAAGGTAGTCACTGGTGTTTGCCCTGTACTTACTTCCTATTTCCATAGGGTAGAAAGACACACTGATTCAGCTGCGTGTGTGTGAGGTGTGTGTTTTCATTTACTAAATCCATCTGGACTCTTATTTTACTAAATTTATAGCATAATAGGTTACACCCTTGGCTTTTCTTACTGGTTGCTAAAGTAGTATGAATTTAGTATTGATATAAAGAAGGACATGAGAAAAAAATGTCTGTGTAAAAGGCTTTCTGCATTGCTTCCAAACATAGTGCATAGTCATAGCTACGTGGTTATGTGTGAATCTACATCTGCCTGCAGGAAGTACAGCCAGATGGTAGAAGGCTGACCTCTTACACGGTACTTAAGGAATGAGTGGATGCCGTGGAGCAAAGAGAAGGCCTAATAGAAGTGATGCCCTGATGCAGAATATTTTCTGGTGAACAGTGCCTTGTGAGACGAATTGTCTGCACAGAGGTCAGAGGCAGGATTGAGCCATGAAATTCACAACCAGCCCGTTGTTTATTTCATTTGCTCTCCTGCTAAATATTAACAAGGAAAATCAAAATAGGATACACTGACTCTGTAAATTTCATCTAAGACCTATGTAAATCTATCAGAGTTTCCTGGTGTCTCTTCCAAAATCAATAAGGACATACTTTATCATACTTATACCCACTGTCCTGACAAAGGTATTTGCAGAAGTCGCTTCAACTCTACCTTATTCTCACACAGAAAGTCCACGTGACTCTCCTCTTGGAATTTAGAATGTAAATAAAACACCACGGAGTAGAACTCGGTGGTGGTGCCCTCTGGCCATCAGTCAGGCCTACTGCTGCACTTATATTCTCACCTTGTAATCCTTTGAATCTGGGTTATACAATAAAAAGTGGCTCAAGGCACAGAAGTCACAAGAAGAATAGATATTTTGCTAGTGTATGATAATTTAGGGAAAAATCCTTTGCCTCAAAGAGTGACCAATTTCTGCTTATAGATATTTAATATGACATTTTCACATTCTAGCCCTCTGATTGTCGGCTTGCCCGGGATAACAGACACATAAAAACAAAGGTCCAACCCCACAGGGCCAGGTCAGCCTCAGGTCCAGGAAGGCAAGTGAATCCCAGTTTCTTATTAGATTATCTCAGAAAGATGAGCTTTCAACATTTTCTACAACCTTTTTCTTTCTCAAGGATTTTTTTTCTATTAATTCATGTTGTGTGGGCCCCTGAACAAAATAAGAATTATATGCATTTGAACTTATATGAAGAGCCTTAGCTTGTCTATATGCTCATAAAGGATATTTGGATGATCAAACAGACGTCACTGAATGGGATGACATATAAAAATACATACACGACAAGTCTACCAGCAGCCGTGAATCTTTATTTTACAGTGTGGCTTGCCTTGTGGCCATGAGAGGTAAGGATGGACTCAAAATCTGACTTTAAATCCAGAATGACTGATTTTAAGTAAACCTCAGAATTTTTCCCCAAATCCCTCTCACTCTCATAAATTAATTTCTTCTGAGTAGCCTGGAGAAAGAGTCTTTCTCCTCCCTCTTGACTCCAACTTCCAGGACCCTAGGGATCTGTGATAATGTGGAGATAGTCAGGTGGCTTTTCGACCCCTAATTCTGGAGACCTAGCTTGGTATCCAGCCCTCCACAATGACTTCCAACCCGTGTTGGGCATCTATTTACCTGCTTTGACTGTTCACAAACCTGCTGTTGCTCTAGAAGAACTTCATCAAGGTTCTCAGTGACCTAGAGAATAATAATGTAAAAAACAGCAAGGGATAAGAAAAGCAGAGATAAATTAGAGGAGAAAATTAGTCTGTCAGTATAGCAGAACAATTTAGTGGTACATCTTGGTCACAGCACAGAGTCTCCAACACAAACATGCCTGCACATTGACGAGGGTCTTGTTGATAGGTAGTAGCGATGGCGGTAAAGCTTAAGGTCCTGCATATTTAACAAGCTCTTCATGGATACTGATGCTGTTAATCCACAGATTGCACTTTAGGTAACACAATTGAGAGTCGAATCCTTTGGGCTGCGATGTTGACTTCACCACTTACCAGCTAGAGTTTTTTGGAGTAGTTACTAAAGCTCTCCCTATGTGTTGGTGGCTTTATCATTTTTGAAATTGGTTGTATAGTAAATAATAAAGATAATGTTTTCAGCATAATAAAAACCGTGGGGAACTGCGGGAGTAGAGCTCCTTGCACTCGGCAGGCGCTCACAAACCCTCCTATGGACTCAGCATTCACGGCCGCTGAGACTGAGCAGAGTGGGCAGCTGTGGATCGCGGAGGGAGACTAGAGGAAAAGCAGTCACCACAGTGACATCATAGGCAAGGAAAGTTCCCCGGGTGTTTCTGGTGCCTTTTCAAATATCACAAAGCTGAAGACAGGATTCTCCTGTGGTTTAACAGCCTGCAAGCCAGTGGGGTTCCTTCGGAGACTAACAGCCTCTGGAGAGCGTCGGTGGCAGCAACTGGACCCCTCATCCTATTTGTCAGAACGCGGAATGGCGTCAGAGCTCCAGGGAGACGCACAGAGATCAGTGGGGAGTTTGCTCGCTGAGCCCGGGATTTCCTCTTGCCAAGTCGAGAGTGGAAGTTTGGCTGTTACACAGAGCTCTCCACCTCGCCTCACCTGTGTGGCTGTGCTTCACTTTTAAAGCTTTTTTCTAGAAGTTCCCTTTAAGGCTTCCAGACTTTGTGTCTTTTAAGTGGCACAGCAACCACAAGGATGGGAAACGCCGCCGCCATCCTCCAAGTGAAGCTGCTGCGCCGGGGCTAATTCACGAGCATCATTGTCACCAGCAGCGCCCGGTGTGGCAGCTGGAGAGGACTGTTTAAATCAAACTATAGTCCAAGCACCAGATAATAAAGGTCTCTGACCAGATCAGTACAGCACACGTGGAATAACTAAAGTGCCAAAAACTTTCAGACCTTACATACACTTCTTGCCCCAGAGGAAAGTTCTCCCAGACTAGACTCCCCTGTCGGCCCTCCTTTCTCTTGGCCTCCTGAGTGAAAGCCTGTTCTATATGGCGAGGCTCTTTGTCTGCAAAAGTCGACAACCTGTTCTGTAATTCGGAACAGCTGTGTTCTGCCTTTCCCAAATTCCAGGCTTTGCCCTTTCACTGATTCCAATTAGATAGTTTCTGGGCTATCACACCCATGTGGGCTGGACTGGAAGAGAATGGAGCAAAACCCCACGGCCCAGGTCAGGAATGAAGGCTCTTAGCCGATGAGATACTCTCCCCTGCTAATGTATTTGTAATCAAATTCAACAGGAGGACAGCGTACACTGCTTGGCAGGTGCAGGCCTGACCACTGTAGATTTCATTCCCAAACACAGCAGTTTGGACTTTTCTGATTTCTAGACCTTACGGCCAATCTGTTCTCCCAAGGAGAGACTCTTGGAATTCTGCCACGAGATGAAAACTACCCAGCCAGCTCGAGCCAAGTTCTGCGCTTTTGCCTGGCCTCACCACCTTAACAGAGATGGGAAACAGACATTTCAAATGAAAATGATTGAGCTGTTGTTGCTGACAGAGATCCAAGAGAACTAGCAAGGATTACAGGAGTGGAGTTATTTTTGTGAGGAACCGTGCAACAGCTAGGAAGAGCCAAGACAGGACCAGGCAGCAGAGCGTCTGAGCACACGGAACCAAGCGTCTTGGGTGAAGACGAAATTCACATTTAGTGAGTTCAAAAGGATGCACCCTCAATCAAGTCCCCTAATCTCCCCATTCTAGTCCCTGGTCATGAAGACGAACTCTGAAAATATTAAATCTTGAGGTACTGATTTACCTAAGCAAAAAAATAAAATAAAATAAAATAAACTGATGCTGAAGTCGTGTCTCACCCTCAGGAGAGAGAAACTGGTGAGAGAAATAGCACAGATATTTGTGACTGATGTAATTGTTAATTCTTAACTTGTTCAGTAAGAAAAGTCATTAAAAACATGATCTGAATTCAAAAACAAATTATGTACTTTACACAGGCAAATTACTGCATGGATCTTTTGTGCGTGATGTAATTATTCCTGGTAATGACAGCTTGATCAGAGGATTCCATGGTGAGAAAAAAAAAAAGGTGGGAGGAACTCCCTAGTCATCTGAGAGGTTCCTGATAAGACACACCAACCCAGAACCGAGGCCGGGTGCCTGAATTCCAGCAAGCCCACTGGAGACTTCTCCTATAATCAGAGTTTCTAAATCTATCATTTCTGAGTTGGAGCCTCAGGAAAAAAAAAAAAAGACAGGAATTTTCCTAGGAAACACCCATGAATATTTTCCATATCTACACCAAGTCATTTGAACAGAACCTTTTATTTTTGTTGATGGGAATTATTTCCACAGAAATAGGTGAAATGGAGAGTATGCTGCTTCTTACAAGGATTTCATCTACTTAGCAAGTATTTAGTCAGTGCCTGGAGCACACACACTGCTCTCCACCCTGAGAACACCAGCGCACAGCTGTATTCCCCACCCAGGGCCTCCTCTCATTAAGCAGATCCACTTTGGATAAAACTTAAATATACAGAAGAATGTCTGAAAACTTAGTTCAAAAAAAATGAGGGGAGGTGGGTTTATGATGAGCCATTTGGATTAAGTCAACAGAGAAGTGGATGGCCACAAAAGTTTTCTTTAGAAATGACCAAAAGTGATGAAATAACAAGAAATGGCTACCAATGTCTGCTGTACAACACTGTCTGTTCCTAAGTGCCACGTAGATTACTGATGAAGCAGGACAGATGACCTGCGCAAGAGGACCAGCGTGGACTTCTTTCTGTCAGGGGAGAACACACACACCCTGCTTTGCAATTAATTAAAGTTCTTTAAAAGTGAGCCATTCTTTTTAACATACTTTAAAATTCTATAGTTAAGAACAAAGACTAAAATCAGTGGTTCATCCTTAGGGCATTCAGTGGTTTGTGCCCACTCCCAGTAACCTTGAAGCCCCATGTGTGGATAATTTTTTTCATTGCAATTGAAATATGGGGTGAGATAAATTAGATTTGCTCTTTCTCTTTCACAAATATATTATTTTAGTATGCTGCCTGCCTATATTGTCTGCTTCTCCCTTGACTTCTTTTTTTTTTCTTTTTGCAGTTTTTGGCCGGGTCTGGGTTTGAACCCACCACCTCTGGCATATGGGTCCAGAGCCCTACTCCTTGAGCCACAGGCACCACCCCTCCCTTGACTTCTATGCACCCCAAACCTTTTATCTTGTTAGAGTTCCCCAGGATAGGAGTTTTAGGAATTCAAAGTACCAGTTCCCTGGGGCGAGAGTGTCTCTGGGCTATGGGAAATGTCGCTCAAAGTCCTAAAATTAGAAAGCCAGAGTTTGGGTCTAAATCCCACTCCTGACTTGATCTCTGGCAAGTTACCAAATTTCTGTTTCTCAGTATGTTTAAAACAAAACTACTCACACCTGCCTACAAAAAGCACTATGGGAAGCTGATGTTGAAAAGTATGGCATCTCGTATGAAGTTCTTATTACCACTCTTGTAATACCTGCCATTCTGGGGTTATAAAGGTGAGTGGCCTTTCCACGTTCTCAGGCAGAGCAGAGCTATATGGGGCTTTCTACATAAAACCAACTGTTTAACGTGGATGTTAGTGGTCCCATTTGGCATTTTCTCAATGGAAGAGATGTTACCCAGGCTGTTTTGGTGAAGCTCCTGGCAGACACAAAATTAACCTTAGGCACCTCAATTTATTTCCAGAGGACATGGCCCACTGTTAGAACAAACACATCATCACCAAGTTTAATCCCAAAGCCATGGAACAACAGTGACCTCCAGTGGCCAATGGCAAGGTCTTTTTAACCCCAGTTTGTGCTTCTAAAGAGGGTTCATAATTAATTACATAGTGGAGTAATCACCAACGAGTTCATCTTCTTAGCAACTATTAAATAAATTAAATAAATAAATATCCCTCTGACCTCCTTAGTTTTATTTTAGAAATAATGCATAAATATCACTGTAAAAGTGGCAATTACGCATCTTTGTTTAGTAGGATTTTTGTTTGGGTTCTTAGTAACTAACGCAGAGTCAAGAACAAATTGTCTTTGTGGCAGTCTTGTTACTGGAAACATCCTATAACGTATTCATTCATTCCATGCTTGGGCACCCAGTTTGAGTTGTTAGTAATTAAGTGATTCTTGCTGAGAGAAGTGGGTTTAAATCCTCACTCTACCACATACCAACTATTTGACATTCTACATGTCAGTTAAGTTTTTTTTTTTTTTGTCTTTGTAAAACATAAAAAATGCCAGCTCTGTGTTAAGGATTAGAGATGATATTGTGTGTCTAGAATGCAGCTGGCACTTAATAAGTAATATCCATTTGGAGGATATTTGCAGGGGGAGGGGGTGGAGAATAAGGAGATTGAGTTGAATGTATGATGCAGCCAAAGGCTTTATTCAATTATCGAAACAAAATCATTAAATAAGCATTTTATGTGATGAGGAATGAGGCGTGGAGGAGCGGTTCTGCCTAACACGTGAATTCTTCTTCCCTTTCATTTTCCAGTCTTTGAAGCCATCCAATCATGCCACCATCCAGAGTATAGTGAGAGCTGTGGGGGTCGTTCCTGGGATTCCTGAACCTTGCTGTGTCCCCGAAAAGATGTCCTCCCTCAGTATCCTATTCTTTGATGAAAATAAGAATGTCGTGCTCAAAGTGTACCCTAACATGACGGTAGAGTCTTGTGCTTGCAGATAACCTGGCAAAGAACTTAGCCGAGTGCTTAATTCAATCAGTCGTTTATTTTATGGACTTTTTTTTTTTTTTGCACTGCCAATGCATTTTGCTCCAAAATATTTTTTTCTATAGACAAAAGAGAACAAGCAAATAGACTGAAGACACCCACCAAGGAGAACTGGACTGTATTTGTCTCTGAATGTACCTAAAAGCAAGATTTTCATAAATATGGACATCTATTTCTCTTTTTTTTTAAATCACACAAAAAGTTGTCACTCAAACTGTTTTTAGAACTGTTAGAAAACACACTGATTTATTTTTGTAATGGTCTTTAAAAATAGATCAAAAACCAGCAATAGCTTATCATTTATCTCTGCTCATCTAATGGGTAAAGGGAACTAGCAGTATCGTGTCCTCAAGCCAGCTTGTTGCCTGAGATTCCTGAGTAACTCAGCAAGTGCAAAATCATGCAATCAACGTTGCCGTTGAGCTTAAAAGTTTTGGAAATTCTCGTGTAGCTTTGCTTTGCCTCCCCAAGTCATTGTGTGAGTGAGTGGTGTCTGTACTGAATGTCAGCGTATATCCCTGTGTGTATTTGCACTAGGTGCTTAAACCCTCTGTAGGAAGGTTTTATGATTCAGTTTACACAGGATTCTTTGTTGTTGCTGTTTTTTTTAATTTTTATATTCTAGTAATCACCATTCACTTGCAAGAACTTTACCAAAAGCGATAGGATAACCCAGTAGCATATATGGAGTATTGCCAATTGACCCATCCCTTTAATTGCAAGTACAGTCCTTCCCCTTCCACACCCTCCCAAAAAGGGAAAATGGCCACCTAGTTTTTGAAAATCCAAATGTAATTTCTCTTACGCACTTTTTTTTCACAAGTGC